AGGCCCGAAGCAACAGGCTCGGACGTACTGCTCGTTACTGAATTCGCACCAATTGAGCATCCGCTGCCCGATCCCCCGCTATGGCACGTTTTGGGGGCGATGTGAAATGGGAGTCACCGCCTTCGCTGTGTGCTTTTTGCCCCTTGTACAACGCGTCGATGCGCTGCATAAATGGGAGCATGTATGGATCGCACCTGACTCTCTGCGGCAGCTGTAGGGACAGCCAAATCGCAAAGGCACCGCTTGAGTTAACTCAGCTCAGGTAGGGTGAGTGCTACTGCATGGACGTGTAACAAGGTTACAGTAGCCTTCGATAACGTCGCGCGAATCCTCAGAGGGCCGGAAGCGGCGGATGCGCCACCGTGCTACCAGCGCGGACGTATGGGCGGTGTTTCTCGGGTATCGCGCAGAGATACTGTTACACGACGAGAGCACTTATGAAGACCAAATTGTTCCGTTTTACTGCCCGACAAGAGGTCAGGAACTAAAGTCGAGGTACGTTGTTAAACTTCAACAGAAGGGCTGATCAATTGGCGGTACTATTCGTCATAACGTCATGGCCGGGAATGTGCACGTACTCAGCGAAAACGTGCGCTTGCGCGTAACGTAGGAGGGAAAATAGCATGTGAGACTTTGAAGGTATACGCACCGAAAGACCACATGCGATTTTGCGCGTAAGGGGGAAGAACACGGACGGTTGCCACTCGATCTGTGCTGCCCAGTGATTGTGGGATGTATGGAGTCGTTGTGTAGGAATCGAGGAGATTGTGAGCTAGTATCGCGCCTCAAAAGGCTGCATGAGTGCGTATCGAATCACCTCACAACGCCGGCGACGACACTTGCGTTTTGGCTGACGCAAGGTGTTCCTGAGAAGACAGCTCGTATTGTCGGGCTTGAGGGGTTGTTAGCGTGGTACGGGTTTGGGCCTAGATTGGAAACTGAAGAGCGATGGACAGGCGTCGAGTAGTGACTATGCCTATACGCAAGTAAGCAAGCATCTGAGACATGTGGGGTTCCTGTCGTTCAGGTGCAATCCATTTCGCTGCTGCTTCGACGGCAAATTGATGGGATTCTAAGAACTCTTGCACAAATTCCTGGTTCGCGCGCGATTGTGTGGTGGTCATTGGGCTCGAGGTTGAAGACAAGCATGATGATACGATCAGAGGAAGAGGGGTGGCGTCACTAGAAGAGCAGGTAGCGTGCCCGAGAGAAGATGGCGCAGCTATGCAGTGCAAAGGTGAGGGGAAGGGGAAGGGAAGAGAAGCTGCTAGGGCTGGGCGCGTGAGCGATGGACCGATGGTGGCAGTCACAAGAAAGGCTACGGGTCAAGTGCACATACTATGGGCGCCTTTCTCCGCGTCCGACTCGTACTTAGTAAGGACGACGGACATCAACAGCTTATTGCATAGTTCCTGCTTCTCTGCTGGTTCTGAGTACGCTGCACCTGTCAGTGGTGGAGGTCGGCGATGCTCCGTTGTCGTTGTCGGAAGTCGTGCGTACCATGGGCAGGCGTCGCCGGGCCAACTTAGCACCGTCCGAGTCGTGCGGCCAAGTTCACTACTCGCTATGGGCGGGTTAAGTATAGCGCGAGAGAATTCACAAAACTCGAGCTCTCGCTACTTTGCAAGTCTACCGCCCAGGACCCTTAAGCTTCATCCGTGGGGACCGAAGCTCTTGTCAACCTGGTCAGAGGGTAAGTCGTTTGATATCATTGTGGGACAGAGACAGGCAATCTCACCTATGTTACGTGCTGTGCTGCTCTATTCTGTAGGTGTGAGCACACTCGTGGACAGTATGGTCGCTAGGGTTCGTGCAACGCGTTTTCCGGTTTGTCCCAGGCAGGCCGGCTTGCTGTCGTAGCATTCCGACCGCCGCAAGTACAGCCAGGTGACGCATCGAATGCCGGTCTCGAGGTGCCCGGGTTGGACATGCGTTATGGTGCCGACATCTTCGTCAAGAGTATCAGGACTTCCTGTCTGGACCAGGCTCTCCGGATAAGTGCCGGAAATGAGGCCCTCGCGTGCGCTCAAGTACTGGCAGGGAGGGATGTCTCACGACAAGCCCTTTGGGCAGCCTGCTTGACCCACAGTGCGGCAGCATGCAATAGCCACTATTAGTGGTGCCCAGGACCAGTACGTCAGTACGATACACTTTTTGTGACGCACCTCGCAGGCTGATTCTCATGTCCAGGTCGAGCAAGTGACGTTTGGTTAGCCATCTTGAGACCCGCATATTACAGATGTACTGGTCATCTGGATTCGGACTCTTGGTCCAGATTGTTCTGCGGGACTCGTGGACTGAGAATAATCCTGCGTGTCTCCCACGCTCGGAGGATGATTCATGTATTGCGTCTATGGAGGGCACGCGCAGGGCGCACGGCAAGGCTTTACCACGGTACGCCAACAGACATGAACTCAGGAGGCTTACCCGACGACTGCTGCAGGCCTACGCTAGTTGAATGGCCCGAGCGGCGTAGAATGCGGCCGGTTCTCATGGCCAGCACCCAAGTTATTCCGGCGGTGTTTATACCAGTTCAGGTTTGTTGTCGTCCGTGTATTCCCCGAGGACAGCGGTAGGTTCATAGCGATGAATGAGGAGTATGAGGTGAGAGCATGGTGAGTACTAGGCAGAAGAGTCTGCTAACGACCACGGAGGAGTGAGCGGCTGTGGACAAGGCGAGGGGGAGAGGCGCACATGACAGACGGCCGCGGACGAAAATCAAGTGATGAGCCAGCGACCAGGGATTTGGCTCGCGCAGAACGATGGGACGGCGACGATTGGCTGGCCTTGACGCCATCCTCATCCTCCAGTCGGATTGTCTCTCTCTGTGCCTCGGACGGTGTGTGCGATGCATGCCACTGCACGGCCAGAGAGTCGTCGAATGACGAAACTCCTCCTCTACCCGTCTTGCCACATCCACAGCCTACACTCATCACCCGTCCGACGGACATCCGCCACTCGACAACCACCACGGCCATGTAGTTCCCCTTATCTCGCCCAACCGTCCTATCCATCGCCCCATCCCTACCCCCCGAGCCTACCGTCTTGCCGTGTCACCCGCTATCATTCATGACAGTACGCTCCCCTTGACGTCCGTTTTGGCCACGCTTCCAGTATCGGCTCATTCACCCCCTCTAGACGTCCACACCACGGGCACAAATTCCCCAGATCGGCTCAACGTCCCCCATCTTCAACGCAAACTTCCTCGCCGATGGCCTCTTCCCCGACCTTGAGCTCATTTCATCCGATGCGGCCCATTTTTACGTACACAGCGCACACCTCCTCGCCAACTCGGCCAATGCCTTCGGAGGCCTCCTCCTACAGCCATGCCACTCACTCGCCCTCTCCGAGGCCGCTGCTACCGTCGAGATCGTCCTCCGGGTCATTTATGGTATCTCCTGCACCACCCCATCCCCTCCGCCGTTCGAGGCCGCCGAGGCCGCGCTCGACGCCCTCGTCAAATACGGCGTACCGGTCGCTCAACTCGCCGCACCGACCTATCCTCTCCACGAACTCCTCCGGTCTTACGCCCCGCATTACCCCATCGAGACGTACGCCCTTGTCGCCCACCACGAGCTCGAAGATCTCGCCAGGGCCGTGTCTGCTCACCTCCTCGCGTACGACATTTCGCGCGTCACGGACGAGCTCGTCATCAAGATGGGCCCCGTGTATTTCAGCAGGCTCGTGAAGCTACAGCGTTCGCGGATGGACGCCCTCCGGGACATCATTCTCAAGCCGCCGGCGATGCATCCGGTCACACCGGCGTGTAGTGAAGAGCTCCAGCGAGAGCTGAGTCGTGCGTGGGCGTTTGCGAGCGCGGAGATGGTGTGGAATGCTTTGCCGAGTACGTGGGTTTTTGTTTAACCGTCACCGTAGCCGCCGCCTTCGAGCAGCTATCCACAATTGGTGCTAATCACCGCCTTTCTTCCTCTTAGGCATATCTACGTATGCACTGGAGTCGACGTTCACACAGGCGGCTTCGTCGATACCGTGTGCTGACTGCCAATTGATGCTACGCAATCGCATCCAGGAAGTCGTGTTACAATGGACGTCCGTCAAGGTACGGCCTGCACTTGATTTTGTCTATTGCTTCAGATGGAGGATGTGACACATTCGCCTGGACTAGACGACCATATGATGCCCGTCTTTGAAGCAAGGGTTGTCGTCTCGATGGATGGTACATTCGTCGAACGTCGGAGCCTGTCTCGCTACCCGCTGTCCGGTGTCACCATAGGGGATTGTGCTTAAGGACAGCACGTTTAGCGTAAGGTATCGCCTTTGTTCATGGCCGTATAGCCAAAGGTCGCATGTTGTCAAGATTGTGGGTCCCGCAGGACAGACGGCTTGTATAGGAGTAGTATGGGAGTCACCGCGAGCGATCGTCAATACTGATTGTAGCATGTAGCATACGTCATGGCTAGCTGACCCTGCAGTTTGTTGTAAGGTTGTTTGTTATTTGTATCTTATTTGTACTGGGCTTAAGTATTCGTGCTGGGTGGGCGAGTGGGTAATGTGCGATGGCGATCTGGGCCCGCATTGTCCTTCCATTAGCAGTTGATTCAACCGCACGACTCGGCCTCTATGAAGAGCAGGATCCGGTCCCCTGGGCCTTGACACAGCACTCTTGCAACTTATCCAGTACTGGCGGACTGACCAGGATGATAGGTTGCTGGCCTCGGATCTGCGTCGTCGTAGATGTATGTGGTCAGGTTATGGTGCCAACCAAGGTGAAGCTTCGAGGAGCACGTGCACGCGACAGGTCGGTACAACTGTGGCGGTGGCGATGCCCGTTTGACACTTTTGTACTTCATTGGCACACCCCTCGCCCACAGATATGGCTTGCAAATCTAAGCCTGGATTGGCTCAAAAGGCCAAGAAAATTGCAGGGATGCTCTAGATGTCTACTTACGATGTCTAGGGTGTTTTGGATACGTATTGGAGGGCACTCAGGCCGTGTCATAACAACTGTACAGATAGTAATTCACTTGTTCTCTTTCAGCGGCCGCCTGGCGAAATGGCATCGCGTCTGACTACGATCAGGCCTCCCAGGGCTTGTGGAGATCAGGAGATTGCAGGTTCGACCCCTGCGGTGGTCATTTTGGCGTTCCTGGACTCGGGGGAACGTCCAGGAATTTTTTTCCTCAGCGGAAACAACGTATTTCCGGCCCCAGGCTGCCCGCGAAGATTAGGCGCCGTACTGCGCTCGTTTCCGACTCGCTACAGCGTCCAGCCCTACTCACAAGATCTGCGCGAATGTATTAGAAGTATAGAAATCTCGCCGTATTTTTTCAGATTTTTTCCATGCCTATTCCTTGGCCAAATCGTTGTAGATGTTGAGAGTAGATTGATCAGCTCCGGGTGACTCAAGCGCCCGGCGCACGTCACAACTTAGCGTGTCACGCGAGAAGGAGCAGTGACCAAGCTAGTGAGCAGAAGCAATTGGCGGAGCAGACATTATGATCGATTGATTACAGCAAGCGTGTAGAGATAGTGACTATACCAGTAGAGCAAGAACTAAGAGAATATGACGTCCCACGCGACCACTTGGACTGCTCACTCCGACGTCTCGACAAGTTTGTTGCTGGTAGCACCCTTGAGCCTCAGCTTACGACGCGAAGAGACAGGCAAGCCTGTCTCCTTATCGAAGCGAGACTTCTTGATATCGTCCCGGCCCTGGTGACAGATACCCTCATCGCACTCTGCCCCAGGAACGACGCGCTCGGGGTGCCGGCTGTTCGCGAACGCCTCCGCCTCGGTGATGCGCTCAAAGCGGAGGGCACGACGACGCCAACGCCTGTGCAGCGTTTCTAGCGTCGGTTTCTTGAGCGTAGAGAGGTCGGCGAAGCGGACGTCGGACGGCCAACCGACGAGACGGGCACGGCGGCGCATGTAGACGTACTGGTGGTACGCGTGCATGGTCCACCACATCTTGGCCGTCTTGTCCTTTGTGAGGCGTACTGTCGAAGGGAGGGATTATAGGTTGATACAGCCAGTCGTGGATAATCATGCAGGCGAGGACATACCGAGAGACGCTTTCATGATCTTCCGCAACTTTGCCCTCAACTGCCTCGCGGTCGCACCAGCCTTTTTGGAGGCCTTGCCTTGTCTGAGACGACCCATGGACGGGGATGTCAGATAGTAATAGCAGGGGATGCTGCGTGGAGGTAAGCCCAAGTCGGGTTAAGGAGGGGAAACATAGCGACGGACCTCAGGCCAAGTTCGGGCGAGATGGTGCGGGAGGCTGCTGTGTACCAGAGCAGCATCGTCGCCGTCTCCAGATATTATAGAGTATTTACGGGATATGCGGCCGCAGTAGATATTTTCGGGTGCACCGCCGTACTAGTGCACTTACTCGCTCCCGCTCCGAGTTGTGAAGGACGACCCTGGTACCAGAGGTGCGGTCAGGGCTGTAGTCCTACGCGAGGGAACGCCGATGTTTCCTGCGTTCCGGCGGGGATGATGGCCATAGTTATCAATGCTTCTGCCAAATGCGGACGCTAGCTCGTCCATCGATACGACGGGGCGCGCGAGGTCCAAAAAGGGTCACCAAGAGTCGCATGGCGGGCTTGATGGCGAAGAGGGCGGTAGGACCTCGTTGCAGGCTTAGATTGAAGGCTGGTAGGCTTCCATGGCCATCTATACTACTAGTCCGCTGAGCTCTTCACCTGAGTTATCCGGTGTCGCGCGTGCTGCTCAAGAATTGTCTCCGAGAAAGGAGGCACCGCTGCGCTTCGTGAGATCTCCCAACGAAAGGACATAGGCGATGTCGCCGAGTGCCTTTGGTAAATCAAGATAGGAATGTCTGTGAACACGTTAGTTTTGCAGACTATCGATACGCGGATGCTGCGGCATGTACTAGCAGGACTAAGGCTTGCGAATAGCAAGTCCTCACTAAAAAATGCGCTCATTACGTGGAAAATAGAGTTAGATTCCCTGCCGTACATGTGTTACGGAAGCCCGTTTGTGCTGACCGACGTCGCCCCCGGGAAAGCAACCTGCTCCGGACTTTCGAAGCTTCGACGGCGTTGGGTGGTGGATAGCAGAAAGGGATGTAGGCGCTCGTCATCCAGGCCGAAACTCCCGCGGAAGCTGCGGCCCGAGTCAAGTCCGAGAATCTCGGAGCGTCTAATCTCGCCAGTTGCCCACCTCGGTCCTCGACTCGGACTCCGCTCAACCCCCACGTTCACGATGGCATTCGTCTTTCGCTAATGACAATCCACTAGAACACCACCACTATTGATCTTGAGCATCCACCAACACCTCACTTTGTCCCCGAGGGCTATCTCGAAGTCGTGACCCCATAACCATGATGGACGAATGGTCGAGCGGGAACATCCTCCTCAATGACCCCATGCGCATCTACCGCGCCAAGCGCGATGCGGCTCGCAAGCGTGTCACAGACAAGTATGCCATTCTAGGCTTCATATCTTCGGGAACCTATGGGCGGGTCTACAAAGCTCAGAGCAAAGAAAGCGACGGTCGGATACACGCTATCAAGAAGTTCAAGCCGGACAAGGAGGGCGATGTAGTCACATATACCGGCATCAGTCAGAGTGCCATACGAGAGATAGCAGTGAGTCCAGCGAGTTCTGTGGGTGTAGTGCATGCTGAAAGGAGCGCGACAACAGCTAAACAGAGAGATCTCGCACGAGAACATAGTGGCTCTGAAGGAAGTAATCTTGGAAGACAAGTCCATTTACATGGTCTTTGAATATGCGGAGCACGACTTTCTAGTAGGTCACAGACGCTGTTAACCCAGAGCAATGCATTAACCGAGACACATAGCAAGTCATCCACCACCATTCTCAAACGCTCCGCTCGTCAATCACCCAGCCTGTCCTCAAATCATTGACATACCAACTCTTGAACGGACTACTCTACCTTCACCAAGCACACATCATCCACCGTGACCTCAAGCCCGCGAACATCCTCATCACGTCTTCAGGTGTCGTGAAGATCGGAGACTTGGGGCTGGCGCGGCTCACGCACCAGCCGTTGCAGCCTCTGCATGCTGGAGATAAAGTCGTTGTCACGATATGGTATCGTGCGCCAGAGCTACTGTTGGGTGCGAAGCACTACAACAAGTCCGTCGATATTTGGGCGGTTGGTTGCGTCATGGCGGAACTCGCTAGCTTGAGGCCGATCTTCAAGGGCGAGGAGGCGAAGCTTGACTCTAAGAAGAACGTCCCGTTCCAGAAGGATCAGCTCCTCAAGATCTTCGAGGTCCTAGGTACACCATCTGGTAAGTGCCTCTCATACCGCGCATCATCGCAGGAGGCTGACGTCTTTATCTGACAGAGCGCGACTGGCCAACGATCAAGGAGCTCCCGGAATACCAGAGCATGAAACGCCTGGATCAGTATGTGCTGTAACGCTCTGGGGTTGGATATACCCTGACCGCGCCGCGATGTAGCTACAACAATCGCCTTTCAGAATGGACCCAGTCCCGTGTCCGCTCGAATGGCGCGGACCTCCTTGCGCGTCTGTTCGCATACGATCCCGACAAACGTCTCACTGCCGCTGAGGCCTTGCGACACAAGTGGTTCCAGGAAGAGCCTCTTCCCACGCGCAAGTGAGTCCCCAGCAGTGTTCCTCTCATCTACAACTTCTCACCTCACGTTTGCAAACAGCGCGTTCGAGTCCCTTCAGCCTCACCAGGTCCCTCCGCATCGCAGGATCACACAGGACGACGCGCCGTCAATGATGCCGATGGCGGCTGCGGGCTCGCAAGTCCAGGCGCAGGTTTCGCAGGTGCAGGCAACGGCGCAGGCCCACTTGTCGCAGCAGCTCTCGCACTCGCACTCAAACCACTCGAAGGCAGGTAGTGCGGCGAGCTTTGCGAGCCTCAGTGGAGGTGCGGGTGCCGGGACGCATACACGCAAGAAGGCGAGGCTGGGATGATACTGGAAGGCTATTTTGTGTTTTGTCTGGGCTAGCGATATCTCTGTATGTTACACTTGTATTCTATTCTCCCATCGCCACATTGATATGTTTGTACACCGCTGACAACCGCGTCATGTCTCAACGCATCCGTCTGGTTTCAACCGCAGTATGCGCCTAATGGACAACCTACGCTCGTACCCTTCACAGACCCCGCCACTCCAGCGATCTGCAACACCGCATTTGCAATCCCGCCCAGCCCTTCTCCTGCGATCATGCCCGCCGCAACAGCGTAGCAGTACATAACCGCGCCCGCCGGCCAGTATTTCCGCCATACGAGTGCGATGAGGCTCCCGAAGAGCATTGCCATGGGGTACGTGCACAGCGGTCCCAGGATAAACGCGATGCCGACCGCGTTCCAGTTCGGAAACCACGCGCGCCGCTCGGGGCGCGACACGAAACGGTACTTGACGAGCGTCGAGAGGATGGCGAGCGCCCCGATGCAGAGCGCGGTTATGCCGGAGGAACGCGGGATGGGCAGGGAGGGTGAGGAGACGGCGATGGAGACGGCGCGCCACGCGCCGACGTCGGGCGCGGGGAAGGCGCAGGTCGTGTTGGTGAGGGTGTTGATGCACGGGTAGGCTTTGACGAAGACGATGTACATGCCGGCGGAGAGGAAGATCGAGACGAGCGCGCCGCAGCATTGGGCGTATAGTTGGGCCCGGGGAGATGCGCCGAGCAGGTGTGTCGTTTTCAGGTCCCCTGCGAGGAGTCACAGCCCTGGGTCAACTTTGACTGAATATATGTGATTGTTGCGGCAAAGACGTCTCACCGAGCATGTCTGCGACTTGCTCAGAGGCAGCGAGGGTGATCATCCCCGTCAACCCGTTGTTCAGCTGGTTCGCCATCGGGGCCATCCCAGTGCCCTTCGAGATACCCCCGAAGACGAGCTGTGCGAAGTTCCCGAGCGTCGTGACCGGCGTCACCGACACGCGCCCCGTGCACTCCGCGCCGACGAGGGAGAACAGGAACGAGAAGAGGATGGCGAGGAGCGTCACACCGGCGTTCTGCCCGAACTGGTAGCGCATCACGAGCATGGTGAGGACCGACCCGGCTATGAGCCCGCCGGACCACATCCACCATGGCGTTTGCTGGTCGAGAGGGACGGGGTCATGGAAGGGGTCGTCCTTCTCGTCAGTTGGGTTGATACTGTCTT